ATATATATATATATATATATATATATATATATATATATATATATATATATATATATAAAACACATCTAGAATAGCTGTCCTCTCTAAGTTATGCTTATTTTTACCTAGCATTTCCATCTAATCTAAACCAATAACAACTGGAACATGGTAGTTCTAGTTTCTATAAAGATGGGTTTTTTTAATTTTTAATTTTCATTTTTTAAAACTTAATTGTAAGATACAGAATAAAAGTTCAGTTACAGCACATGGAACAATCAGAGTATTTAAAACAACACCCATCAAAGCAGCCAGTTTGAAGCAAAAAAACCTTGAAAAAGCTTTTCCAACTTATATATATTTGAGGCTGAAATATTTTGCAGAATAGTTTTTACTAACATTAGTAAGAATGTTTTCTGGGAGCAACTACTGTTAGCAGAGCTGGTGATGTAGGTGCTTGCACTATCTCTGAATTAATATATGGCAAAGAATTAGAGGTTTCACCATATACAAGTGGCAGTAGAGGCTGACATTGAAAGTCACCAATTATAGAGAAAATTCTATGAGAATTTTATGAGAATTGCTACTATAGTTATATTTATGTGTTCCTTGAAGTTATGGTTATCAAATGCCATGCATGCATATTTTATTTTTATTGGACAAAGAAGGTAGCAAGAGGAAAGCTAACAACACAGAATTATTCTGTTGGTATTTTGTACAGACTTTTCTTTTTACTCTTGGGCCTTTTAAATTGTACATTTATTCTTTTAATATATGTTATCATTATGTCATAGAGTACAGAAAATGAAGAGGAACCAGATTTAGAATCTATGTTTCAAACAATATTGTCAGATATGGAAGAATATTTGAAGCCTGTACTGTCACAGCTTAATCTCTCTGAATTGAGGTAATTGGTGTATATGTTTATATATTTATCTTGGTGGTTTACAATACTCAAATACAGTGAAATTCATATAGAACACATTACTGTAAACTGTTCTTGAGGTGCAGTGGCAAGAATTACCTCCCCCAGAAATTTTATGTAGATATTGAAAAATAGGGGTGTATGTTTATGTATATGCAGGGCTTTTTTTCTCATTGAACGCCCAGAACGGAGTTCCGGCACCTTTTTGGGATGGAACCTTATAGGGTAGGCAAGGCGGGTTGTATGACGTGTATGAGTTCCGGCACCTTTTTTTTTTTTTTTTTTAGAAAAAAAGCACTGTGTGTATGTGTGTATGTGTGCGTGTGTGTGTGTGTGTGTGTGAGAGAGAGAGAGAGAGAGAGAGAGAGAAAGAGACCCTGAAACACTTACCATGGGAGCCATTTTCTAACCGCCCTCAATCCCATTGATCGAAGCCTCAGAAATGCGTGCCACATTCCCACAGCCCTGCCACTCCCAGCTTTCTCAGGTGAGCCAAAGGATACCATACTCAAGGCTACCAAAAGCCATCAAGAGATATAAGAAAACCAATGGGCTACAGTTCCAGTATTCAGGTCCTGATGAAGATCATAGAGTACAGCAACCAGTGTGATTTTGTCTCATGCCCAAATGTGAACCCTGACTGAAAGGGAACTAATTAACCCACTGTGCAATTAACATTCCAGCACCTTCTCAATGACCTTCCTTAAAAGGAAAAGCTACTGGGTTTTAGCATGCTATAAAGTCCCAAGCCTTCCAGGAATTGCTACAGAGCACTGAGCTCAAGTTCCTCAAGGTTAATAGCTGAGAGGATTCCAACATCAACTCTGCAGTGAGACCCAGGGCTAAAAAGGGATCTTGCCATATAACAAAGGTGGGCGATACATGAACACCCAACTTTATGTACAGGCATTAACAGCCCACCATTAGGCATCACCCAGGTCTCTCAAATGATCATTACTGTTTGGTGTATGCTGGCTTTGGCCGCTGCCAGCAATGAGGGAGAAGGGGAGGAAGATATGTGTACAATTAATGACAGAGGGACAGAGGCTGCAGGTCTGAAATCTCAGAGGAAAATTTCTGGAATAAAGGGAGCTCTGATGAAGTAAGAGTTGGAAACACACACACACAAACACACATATACTTTCTGGTATTGATATCAACAGGAAATGGAGTAGGAGGGAAAACCTGCAGGAGAAGAAATATAAATTCCCAAAGCAGGAGGGAATAGTAGGAAGACTTCAAGGGGAGGATATTTTGTCAGTCCCACCCAATAGATAGAAATGGAAGGAGAAACATAATGCCCTTTCTTCCTAAAGTGCCCAACTGAAAGAAGATGCACCTTGTACCTCCAGGTCCAAATAGAGAGGTGTTAGATCGCGCAGGCAGTAAGACACGAGTCGAGTGACAGTCAGCTCTCGGTTTATTGGCAAGGCATAAAGTAAATCCGGACTGGCATCTGGGCCAGGGGAGCCCTCTTTTATGGGATTCCCCTGGCTTGTAATCACACAATTCCATTGGCTGGTAAGACCCCGTTGCTAGTTAGCCAACCAGCAACGGGCATGAA